CAGATCTCCCTGTGCCTCCCCCTGGCTTGACCCCCATCGCTGCTCGGCAGGTGCCCATTGCCCATGTCCGCAAGGAAAGTCGGCCCCTCGCACAGGATCACGACGGTTCTCAAGAGCCGCTTGAACCGCGAAAAGCCAAGCCGAGAGGGCCAAGCGAACCCAGCGCCACTCGCGATCCCAGCACCTCAGCCAATACGCCCCCAATGCAGGGCAAAACAACATCGGTCTGTGGGCTCATGTGGCGTGCACTCCAAGCAGGACATCACTTTGGGAAGAATGTCAAGCCTAGACCCTACATGAGCCTGCGTGACTCGAATCATCTCACGACGCATTGCCAGCAGCTTCGTGCATACAGGACCTATGAAGAGTTGTTAAATGGCTTACCACACCAGCTACAGGATGCGGACGCGTTGATAAAAATCGCAGACACCCTTCTTCATCTGCCTGAGACTTTCCCGGCGTCTTATCTGAAGGTCTACGACCCCATCATTGCGCAATGCCTTCGGTTGTCGGGAGCGCTGCAACATGTTGACCTTGCGAATATGTTGGCTTGCTCGGTTCCGCAGTTAGATAAAGCAAGACTCTCGGAGTCCCTGGTAGGGTATGGGTTCCTGACCACTGCCCAGTATATTGCGGATCTTTTCTTCGCGGTGGCGGATATGCCGAGCGTCATCAACGCCAGCTTTCCGGCCATGATGTGCTACTCTGACCCGGATTATTGGCTGGGTGCGCTCCTGCTCGCATTTGAATCCCACCAAAAAGGCCCCCTGGAGCCCATTGTTGTGGGCTTTCCCGAATCCGACCACAGGATTACTGACCTCCAGGTCAACGTGCCGCCAGCGGCCATGGTGGCTTTCCTTGCCGGCCGCGCTTATCGGATGCGTACATGCCCTACAACCAAGTACACGGTGGACCCGAGTAGCGGACTCCCTCAGGTCAGTGGGCAGGTGTCCCAGGAGGCCTTGCAGGCATGGGCGGCGGCCGCCAAACACACGGATATGGAAGCGGCCCGGCTCGCACAGCAGCCTAGCCTGAATGCGTTCCTTGGAATTTCGCTGCAGGGCTCACAAACGCTTGGGCAGCGCCAATACCAAGAGTTTAAGCCGGAGTTGCCCCCTGCCCATTTTCTTGAGGCCATCAGGCTCGCCCTAGCAGCCTCGGTGGCCAATCAGGACATTGAGCACTTTTGGTCCGTCTATAACTTGGAATGGCCCGCACCACTGCTCGGATGGCTGTTTTCCTTCGGCGTGTGCTGCCCTTGGAATGCCTACTTGCCTCGCCCCGTATCGAAACCGCGGGTGTGAACGAGGTCCAAACCTCGCCGGATGTGTACAGTGTCTCCTCCGGCACGGAACCTGTGTCCCCCGCATCGATGGAGGACCTGGCAGAGGAAGCGGACGAATCAGAGGCGCAGGTGCACGATTGGCGTTTCTCTGAACTGCGAACTACTGACCTAGCGGCCTTGCGAGAAGTGGACGTCGCTGCTCCTTTTCGGCTGCCGGTCATTGACGATGAGCATTGGAAAGGGCTCAGCACAACACCTAATAGGCACGGGCCCCAGCGTTCCAGGAATGCGTGGTATGATGCTGCCACTGCTCATTGGGCTGCCCTCAAGGGGCTCGCAAGATCCAAGCATCCAACTAAGCAGCAACTCAACAGCTTCTGGTTCAAGCTGTACTGCCATGGCACTCCCAAGGAGCCCGAGCCCTCGGCCCTCGCGGCCGCGCTTACCACCTTCCCCTTTCAGTATCGGGACGAAGGTGTGGTGCAATATCGGCAAATACAGGATGCCATCCGGACGATGTGGCAGGCAGCACAAGCCTCAATGAAACGGCACATAGGGGGCTCCATCCCAACTAGCATCCCTGAGTGGGGGGTTAGCGAGGAGGAGTTGCCACAAGTATCAGGAGGACGGGCCCATACTGTCTCTGCAGGCCACCGCCCGCGACGCTCTCACTGGGAAGGCCCTTGGCAATAATCCCTCACACCTGCCTGACTGCATGGGTGGGACCACTGGATTGTATTATCTGAATCGGTAGCTGTCGCTACTCAATGGCTTCCGTAATGGGAGCCTCCAGGGAGCCTGCTGCTCTTGGCTGCGGCTCGCGGCTGCCCCACTGGCCACCAAGGGGAACCCTGAGCTGGTCCGCAGTGCTCGCTTGTAAGTCCCCAGTGGTTGACCACCATGGGGCGCACGGACGCTTGTAATAGGAAGTTTCCATGGCACCCCAACCTGCCTCGGCAACTGTGGGGAGGTGTACAAATTCAAGGTGCCTGAGCCCTCGGCCCTTGTAGTTGACCCTGCCGTTTCCTCTTGCCTTGTGGAAGTAAGGATTCGTGCAACATTGGCAAACCCTGAGGTCCACTGCTCCGCTCTGTGCAAGGACTGGCGTTTCCCCCAGTAGAACCGGTCGCTACTGACGCGCATTGACCTCCCTTCTGGCTGGTTGAAGTAACTTGTCGGGATGGGAACACCCTTCTGGGTGGGCGATGCGGTGAGCCTAGTGGAGTGAGTGCCTCTCGCCCGGGGCTGTACCACTGGCTGGCCCCCATGGAGTACTCTGGGCTGGTCTTGCCTTGATTGTTCATCGGTTATGTCCAAGGTAAGACTGCCCAGTCTTCCTCTCCTCCGCCCCTCTTTGACCGGATAGGTTGCCCTTTCTGTGCTATGGCACTGCAAAAACCCCTCGGCTTTGAGACCCAGCAGCCGCCCACACTGGTTGCCCCACCGCTCATCACGGGTCATGGCAATGCGATCCTCCCCTTTCTGGTATCTCGGCCGAAGGACGACTCTGGAGAGGCCAATGCAGTGGTGCTGCTTCTCCCAGGTTGCGGGCACTTATGTCTGAAGAATATACACCCACTGGAGTAACCTGGCCTTCAAAAGGGCCATCGTCGCCTATGCTTGGCCTGTGGCCGGGCTGGCTGGCTCTCCGCTCGCCTGGATGCTACCTGACGGCGCCACCTAAACGAACGCTGTGTATACCATGGAGATCTTGGGCTCTTGCAGGCTGCCAAAAGTGATGTGAGCCCTCACATCTCCTTGCCGACGTACCTTATTGGCTTTGGCTCTGGAGGGACCACTGCTTACCAAAGTGCAGTCTCCGAGACCCCGGCGAGCTTTCGGGCTTGCGTGTGTGGCCTCCCCTCTGGCTGTCTGTTGAGACATTGCTTGCACGCGGACATCCTTCCAGGTGGGCGCAGCTGCAAGCCAGGGTGAGCGGGGGACCTTTCGCTCGGGGCTGCTCCACTGGCTGACCACCATGGAGTGCCCTGGGCTGGTCTTGCCTCGATTGTTCTTGCTGTTAAGTCCCCACTGGCTGACCACCATGGGGCATACGCACGTCTTTCCTTTCCTTGGGGAGTGTTTGACCCGTCACACACCTTTGCCACTGCGGGTTTGTTATCTGTCCTGGACGACGGGTACGGGATCCTGACGGCCGAATATCGACTCTGGAGAGACCAATGCGGCGGTGCTGCCTCTCCCAGGCTGTGGGCACTTCTACGTGGAGAATAGGCACCTACTGCCCTGGCCTGGAGGTATCGACTACCTGTGGAATAACTTGGCCTTCAAAAGGGTCATTGTCGTCTGTGCTTGGCTTGTGGCAGGACAGGCAGAATCTTCGCCCGCCTGGATGCTACCTGACGGCATCGCCTGGACGAAAGCTGTGTGTACCACTGAGATCTTAGCGCTCTTGCAGGCTGCCAATGTGATGTGAGCCCTCACATCTCCCTGCCGACGTATCTTATTGGCTTGGACTCTGGAGGGACCGTGGCCTGCCAGATTGTGGTCCCCGAAACCCCGGCGAGCTTTCGGGCTTGCGTGTGTGGCCTCCGCTTTGGCTGTCTGCTGAGACTGTGCTTGTGCGCGGACATCTATCTAGGTGGGCGCAGCTGCAAGCCAGGGTGAGAGGTGAACCTTCCGCTCGGGGCTGCTCCACTGGCTGACCACCATGGAGTGCCCTGGGCCGGTCTTGCCTTGATTGTTCTTTCTGTTAAGTCCCCACTGGCTGACCACCATGGGGCATGCGCACGTCTTTCCTCTCCTTTGGGGAGTCTGACCTGTACCATCCCTTTGCCAATGCGGGTCCGTGATGTGTCCTTGAAGACGAGCACTGGAGCCTGACTATCGATGATGACCTTGGTTCGAGCCGAATGACGTCGCACCAGTAGCTACATGATGGTGATTTTGAAGATCTGGCAGTGTCGCAATTTGCGACTCCCCGCATGCTCAGTGCTGTATGATTGCACCGGGACTTCAACGACGACTTCGAGTACTGAGTGCGTGGGGTTTCCTAGTAGTTCGGCGCCTTTGCTTGGTTTGTTGCTTCTGTTTTCTTGTTTTTTGGGTGGTTGCGTGGTGTTCTTGGTGGTTTGCGCGCGCTGACTTCGTTTCACCCGTTACGTCGAGCCCAACAAGACCGGCCTACTGTGCTACTGATGTAGTAAAGGGGCGCCAGTCCAAAAAAAAAATGACGTCAGAACCTGGAATCTTGTGTGTCGCCAAGAGACCTCCTCGAAACCCTCTAAGAGGGTTACCGACATGGAAAAAAATTGGTTTAGAAAACACCCATCCACAAACATCTTTAGAGTGTTTCACCGAACTGCCGAGAAAACAAGATCTCCAAGATCCTACATGAACCCTACGGCGCCGCTGCCAACGGTAGCACTTTCAGCCCGCCTTGGCTAGTCGTCTAGGATGCCATATCGGGCCGAACTCTGTATGCATCACGTGCGTATGGTGCCTTAGCAGTGCGGCGTGGTTTTAATTCCAAGCGATTTGCAACAGATCTCGTGCCGCAACTTGTAAAGCAACCAGTTTAGAAAAAAGAGCAACATGCACTAGTTGCATTACACAACCCATCGGAGCTGAGCCTTGCAACAAAATCCTGTTCTAAGCACAACGGTAGCCTTAGTTGCAGAAAGACCTGACGTGATGCAGTTGCAAAGTGTTACTTTGCAGATTGAGTGCCCAGTTGATTTAGCCCGAGCCCCATGGTATGCTTGAGATCAAGTGCCAAGGCTGGGGAGCATGAGTGCAAACTTCCATTTTGCTATCGTGCACCTTGCATTTCCGTGCCATGCGATGAGGGAGAGGGAAGTGGTGCCTGTCTTGACATTTTCGTTGCAAAAAGTCGGAAGTCTCTGAACAATGCCGTCCTGCGTAGGAGCCAACTTGGCGCGGGTGTTCAGCATCTGGGGGTCACAGTCCCCTTGGGTGGAGGCAGGATGCCTCGTTCGCTTTCAGCCCCACACGAGCCACAGAACCCCTTTTTGCACTGTCAAACTGCAAGGTGGAGAGTCCATGAGTTTCGGAAGTGCTTTGAAGTTGACAGCAGCATCTCCTCACGACGTAACGACGAGTTTCAAACCCCCAGCACGAAGACCCTTACCAGCATTCTGAGCACTCAAGCCTTGAGCACGAGGTCGAGCTAGATGGACGCCCGTTGGCACGCACCCGGCCGCACCAAGGCAAACCCAATTGTGTCATTCTCGGGTTGAAGGGTGTAGCCTCCAGCATTCAAACTTTCAAAACCTGCGGGATGGTTCGGCAAGGCTGTGTGTTGTTTGGTGGTTTTGGCTGGTCATGCTCAGGTCACGGAGTTTGACTACATGTCAGTGGCCACATGTTGCTTTCAATTCGTCGCTGTCAACATGTTGTCTGGTTTCGTTGCGAGTCGTCTCTTGGGGCCCAACGTTGCAAGTGTTTTTTGAAGAGGGTTTCGTGCAGGTGGCGACAAGTATCCTCGCTGGGATGGCCCGCCGTTTGCCAGCAGCTCAGCAGGGAATCGTCGCCTTGAGAATCTCGAAAGCCGCCAACCCTCTTGAAACCACAGGGTTCAACCTGCCTCGTAGGTTGGGTTCGGCGCGCTTGTCGGCGAATTCCTGTTGGCCCTTGCTTTGGAACCTTCCGCATTCTTGCGTAGGATTGTTGGAGGAGGGTTTTGGGGCTCTTTTTGGGGTGGGGCGTCAAGTACCCCCCACCCCATCGAGCCCCAAAACCCTCCAACAATCCTGAAGGACTAAAGCCTAAACCCTAAACCCTCAACCCTCAACCCTAAACCCCAAAATTTGTTGTGGTGCTGAGGTCGTGGATCCCAGCTCTGGACAGACGCTGGTTTTCCGAGTCGTCATTTCCAGTTCGACGGCGGCTTGGCTCGAAGACACTGCTGGGTTCGGGGGTGGTCAGCGTTCAGGTTTTCGGGCTGGGAGTCAGGGTTTTGGGGAGCCTTTGCGCCCTGAACGCCCCGAAAGTCGCCTCAGAAGGAGGCCCAAAGCACAGAAAGCTTCCTGGCCCAGGTCATCGGTGCTCACACGGTCCTCTGCGGCCAAGGCCTTTTTTCCATACGAGGGCCTCCGAAGAGAGGTTTTGAGGGGGTTGGGGGAAGTCAGCCCGAAAGTGTTCTGGAGCCCCGGGGCGTAATACCCTGGAGAAAAAGTGTCTTTACACAAGGTGCTTGATGATACTCGTGCTTAGCTGGAGGTGAGGTGCGCGTGAGCGAGCTGGTCCAGCGGCCTCGGCCTGAGTGCCGAGCTGTTTTTGGATGAGGCCTTCAAGGCCGGCTTCAAGGCAGGCTCGGGGTTCGGCCTGCTTTGCAGGTGGGCTTCGAACTCCCTCAAGCAAATGTGGGGGGGCACACTTGTGAAGTTCCTTCGCGTCAGCTCGACGCGCGGCACGCAAGTGTCGTGAGGGATGCGTATGGGTTTTTGGGGTGGGTGACGGCACTTTTCCAGGCCGAGTCCTTTGCAGCTGTCGCTCTGCAAAGCAGGCGCCAACCAGTGACGTAGGTCGCGAAGCCTCAAGCCAACAGGTCAATGCAACATGACGAGAAAACCCTGAAGTCCTGAACTGCTCAGAGTTAGGCACGCTTTGGTTTTGTGGTGCTGCCTTTGGAGCCCGAAGCATGCGCTTCCTTCACTGCCCCCCCCCCTCCCTCCCCTGTGCGTGGACCTCGCGGAAGGCGAAGAGACGGGGGTTCTGAGCATCCAGTGGTGTCGCTCTTCTGGGCGCTTTCCCGAGGTGGGGTTCAGGAGTTGGGAATGTTGGGGGCTTCAGGAGTTGGGGAAGACACTGAGTTAAATCCAAGTTGGGCAAGGCCTTTCCTCAACTGGCAAGCGTTTTTTTTTTTTGACGAATGCCTTCAGGAGACAAACTAATCCTTGAAGTCTCGGAGTGCGCGAGCTCCACACCCTCCCAGGTCTCAACCCACCCTCAGCCCCCAACACTTCACCCTGTAGACCACCAGCCTGTACCCTCAGCCGGCAAACCCCAACTCCTTAAAAAACAAAGGAAACGCCTCTAATGCCATCGGACCTGTTGTTTTTGCCAGGCAGGCATCCAGGGCGGGCCACTGGCCTGCAGGGCTTCGGCTGAACCTCAAGCCCGTGAACTTGAGGGCCTTGAGGGAGGAGTTGGTTTGGATCTTGGTTTGGATGGTTTGGGATGGTTTGGGATCGAATTGGAGGAACGCAGAGTGCAGCATCATCTTCTGGCTTTCAGCACGCAGCACCTTCCTCCCGAAACCGTCGCGTGACGCGGGGGTGCCAAGGCTCCCGATGGACCTCCGCGCAGACACGCGAGCTCTGGACCCGCGGCGGCCAGCCGCGTACCCGCAGCCGGAATCTCCCCAGCACCAGACGGGCACACCCCAGCACCAGGCGGGCACACCCAAGAACCAGGCGGGCACACCCCAGCGTGGGTTCCCGGCCCCAGGAGCCTTTCCTCCGCAGGAGCAAAGGCCGTTCCCCCCGAGCCCCCAAGCTCAGCAGATCCAGGCTCCCCAGCCGCAGCCCAGGCCTCAGCTCCCAGAGTTGAGTAAGTAGGGCCTCTCCTCGACGTGTCAGCTCTGCAGGCTCTGGGGGTTGAGCAAAGTCCGGCCTGAGGCCGTCAAACACTGACAGTCGCCGGCGGCGGGCTGAAATCCCTGCGGTTCAAGGGTTCCGGACAATCGAAGCTTCGGGGTCAGGGTTGGTCAGGGTTTGGCAGAGTTCTCAGTCCACTGCTGAGGTTGGGCCTCAGCGACCAAGGCCGCGACAAGGCGGCGCGCCTTATGAGCAGCCACGGCCGCGGCACTGCCAGGGCTCAGGGTTCTGGGCCCTCGGGGGATTCGTTTCCTGGGATCACGTGCTCAAAGCCTGATGGTATCTCGCGGTAATCTCCAACCCCTCCAGCCTCCAGCCCCTGTAGCCCATTGGAGTAAAAGCAAAAAACAAAACCCCCCAAAACCCCCCAAAACCCCCCAAAACTCCGGACACAAAACCTAAACACCTTCTATAAACCTGAAAAGGCCAGGATAAATAGAAATGTTTCAGAACGAGCAGCTCGTGCAATCACCCAGCCCCAGCCCCAGCAGCCTCACAGCCCCGGCTGGACCTGGGGCTGGGGCTGGGGCTGGGGCTGAGGTTGGGGCTGGGTTGGGGCCTCGAGCCCCCCAACCCCCCCAGCCAGCCCCCAGCCAGCCCCCAGCCAGCCCCCAGCCAGCCCCCAGCCAGCCCGGCCCGAAGGATTCAGGTGCAGGGTTTGCAGCTCAAAGGAGTTTCCCTTACCTTTTGCAATCCGCGTCATACTCGTAGATACTCGTAGTCATGAAGCCCAAGGCCCCCCAGCCTCAAAGCGTGGGGTTGAAAAATGTTGCAAAGGGGTTGGTGTTGCAAGGGGTTGGGGTAGCCACGGGTAGCCTCAAGGCACCCTCAACCCTGCAGTACCTTTACGTGGCTTGCTCCCCGAGCCCGCCCTCCGCGAAACCGCCATCTGAGGCAAAGACTCTCTGCGGCAGGTCGCCACGAAGTCAGGGGCCCAAGCCGGATTCAGGGCGGCTTGCGGGGTCAGAGGGAACATGCAACGCTGAGCTTCCGGCCTCCGTTGTCAAGCCCAGAAGCCCCAAAACTTCCCTGAGTTGATCATCTTCAGCCCAAGATGGTCCTGAAGGTGTAGGGAATTGTCCAAACAAAAGGGGCTTAGGGAAGGTTCCGAGCCGTTTCAGATCCGCCTCCCCAACGGCCAAGAAGCCTTCGAGGCCGTTCCTGAGCCCACACCTCCAGGGCCGGAGCAGGCCGCGGGCTGGAGGGGTTAAGGCTAAAGCCACCCTAAACCCTAAACCCCAAGACCCTAAACCCTAAACCCGAAAATCCAGGGTTTAGGGTTTAGGGTTTAGGGTTGATGGGAGAAACATGGAGACACCGGGTTGAAGGGCTTTGGGGCCTCGCGCCTTTGCGCTGAGGGGAAGCTGGGATCCCCCCCCGCCCCCACACCCACGCTTTCGGGTTCCTCGGCCTCCTCTTTTTCTTCTCTGTATAAGGGCTCCTTTTTCTCCAGCAGCGTTGCGCTTTCCTCAAGCTCCCTCTCCTGCCTCTTCTGACCGTGGAGGCTCACCTTCCCGGAGTTCCGGGAGGCCTTCTTGCGCCTCCAGGAGGAACTCTGGTGGGTTCTCAGGGTTTGAATTCGGGTGTTTTCTCGGGGCTTCAGAGGGTGTGGGGTTTTGGGGTTAGGACAGGGTGTGGGGATGTGGGGTGTCAGGGTTTGAAAGTTTGCAAGAGCTCGAGGGTGGAGTCGGCGCAGCCTTCACTTCTTCTTTTGCTTCAGCATGAGGTGTGTGTGTGTGTGTGTGTGTGATCTCAGGACTGTCAACCTTAATCAACCAGAAGGCATCGCAATGTCCCGGACCTCACCTTGCAAACCTCCGCAACAGTTGGGCGCTTATGAGCGGTGATCCTGCGAGGAGTTGGAGGTGGTGGACAAGCCCAACGATGAAGCCATGAGGCCCCTTGAGGTTTCAACCCCCCCCCGCATTGCAGGCAGCCCTCGCTTGCAGTGAGAGAATCGCTTTTTGCTTTTGGCGCAGATCGGAGGGGTTTAGTGTTCCAGACTAGAAGACTGCGGCTTCGAGACATTCAGTCGCTTGTGCCAGGAGGCTGTTTCAGAAGCACAGTGGACAGCCAGATCCAAAGACAGGCAGAACTGCTTTCTTTCCTGCTCGCATCTGGGAGCCCTCAGCCCGCAGCCCTTGCTGGTAAAGCCCTCAAAGCTTCTGCATCGCTGGCGGATTACGGTCCTAGGGGACCCCTGAACCCTAAGCCCTAAGCCCTAAGCCCTAAACCCTAAACCCGAAACCCCAAACCCCCAAACCCCAAAACCTAAAAAACCCCAAGCTCGGAGCCCCAAATCGTCGCCCTTGCTCCGAGCCGCAGGTGCCTTGGGCGGGCTCCTCAGCTTGTTTTCCCGCGCCGAAGCCTTTTTTGAGCTGTAGGGTTTAGGGTTTCAGGTTTAGGGTTTAGGGTTGAACCCTGCAAATCCTACTGTTCAAATAAAACCCTGACCCGACTTGTCAATCCCGAAGCAGTGAGCTCAAGTACTTTGTTCAGAAGGGAGGACGCAAGGTTTCAGGGCTCCAGGCCAGGTATTTTCAAGGAGATCTGACGGGTCCATGGGCCGATCTTTCTCTTGGCTTAGGGTTTTGGGCATAGGGACGTTTAGGCGCTCAGCAGACGAGGCCTTGGAAGAGAGGAGTACGAGGTGCGGGAGCCCACGGTTTGGGATGGTGGTCTCAAAGCCTCTTCATCTTGAAAAAACTTTGCAGGGAGCCGTTTGTTGAAGGGACCCCCCCCCCCTTTCCCCCCAAACCTGCCACAGCGCGCCCAAGAGTGCCCCGGCAGGCGCTCCTCTTCCGCATGCTGACGTTCATGCTCGCCAGCGGCGAGGCTCAAGCCTGGGGGCTCCCCTGGGATCCGGAGACCGGAGACTTCTCCACCCCTAAGCTGCCCTCAGCATCCCGACCTCGAAAATTGAATCCCAGCAGGTCGACGCTGTTCCCACACAAGCAGCGGCCGCCGCCTCGATCTTGGGGTTCGAGTTTTTTCTTTGGGGGGATGTTAGAAGACTCTGAGAGCAGTCCCACTCACCCTTAAGCAGGTTTAGGGTTTAGGGGTGTTTGGTTTGGGGTTTAGGGTTTCCCTTAAAGCCCTCAAGCTCCAACACGCTTTTCCGGATTCAAGACCGGTTTAGGGTTTAGGGTTTATAGGGTTTAGGGTTTAGGGTATTCTAATCTCGTGGTACCGCGAACAAAGACTTGATGCCTAGGTGGGAGAGGAGCGCGACAAGCGGTGGCGAGAGGAGTTCCTCAAGAAGAACTCCCAGAGGTTGGCGCGGCCAGCCTGTGCGTATGTGTCCGCATATGTTCATAACTCGTGCTTTCATCCCACAATCCAAGGCGCAGTTCAGTTTGCACTTCGTCTGTTTATGTCTCAGGTCTTGTTGGAGGGCCAAAATAGCCTAGGCTTCTCCAAGGGTTTTGGGGGGGGGGTCCAGACCACAGGCTACCTTGAGTGAGAAGGACTTGAGGTTTGGGGTTCAAAAGCTTGGGAAAGATGGGGCCCAAGAGAGCATCGAAGCGAGCCGCGCTGTAGGAGCGCTGTGCGTGGGCGGCTTCGCGATGGTCTCGTGGTGCTCGGCCCGGAGGGTGGAGACCGGCCTGGAGAGGCTCGCTGGCGACTTGGGCTCCAGCAAGCCGGAGGGCCCGACTACCGCCGAGCAGCTCTTTGCCATGTACGTGGTTCCTGTTGAAGATCTGATGCTGATGACCGAGATCAAGGCGCATGAAGATCTGCTGCAGGAGGGTGCCTTGGTGGAGTTCGACGACAGCAAGGGCAACGCCATGTTCGTGTCACACCAGTGGGCTGGCGTCGACCATCCGGATCCGGAGCTCGCACAGTTCAGGGTCCTGCAACAGGCCCTGAAGAACGCCATGAAGGGTGCCTCCGTGATCTCGGGAAACATCAACCTCGAGCTGTACAACGGCCATCAGGTTGTCATCTCAGCAAAGGACCTGTCATCCAAGCCGCTCTTCGTTTGGTACGACTACTTTTCCTGCCCGCAGTCGCACGCACGGGCCACAGACCGCCAGCTGGCGATCAGCAGCATTCCCCTCTACGTGGACCGCTGCCATTTCTTCGCGATTTTGTGCCCTCATGTCTACCATGCGCAGCAAGGGTGTTTGCTGAACAGGCAGGGTTCGAGAGTTCGATACCATGAGCATTGAGTGCTCAACAGTAAGCTCGGCTCAACGGCTGGAGCTATGAACCTCAAATGGGGGCTTCCGAAATTTGAGGGTACCTTATTGGGGTCTTTATCATCGGGGGATCCTACTCCCCTCTATTTTCGTAAGCCCCAAAGCCTTTGACATGCCCCAGCACAGGCGGAGCTGGGAGAGCAGCTTGATCTCTACAGCAGCAAAGACTTTGTACTTGTTTTCTCTTCTTCTTTCATTGAGGGCATTGCAAAGTACGATCAAGAAATCTATCCTTTCTTCCGTCCCAAGCTTGTGGACGAGTTAGGCAGGGGGTGGTGCAGATTGGAGCGAATGGCAAAGGAGCTCAGCACAAGGACAGACAACAGTGCCTCCATCGAGATCCAGAGCGCCTCCTACCAGGCTCTCTTTGTCGGGTCGGGCCCTACAAACCCTGAAACGTTCAAGCCCTGCCCCAACAAACACACAGCTTGCTTCCCAAGGCGCAAGCGCCTTCCTTTGCATTCTTTCGCGCGCCGGTGGGCACAGGCAGCTTCACCGTGCCAGGGCTTGTTAGTGTTTCAGGATTGACTCACGTCATCTTGCGCTCGCGTCGGGAGGTACGGTGGATGCCGGGGTTCCAGGCCTCCCACTTTCCCTCCCCAAGATTCGCCGTGCTCAGCTGTTTAGGATCGCAAGGGGGGGGGGCAAGAAAGAGCTTCCAGAACAAGGGACGGTCAAAGACTACTCAGGGATGCTCGCAAGCTCGCCCGTTAAGGCTTGCGAAGGGTCCTTTTTTGCTTGAGCTTATTTGGGCAAGTGGGTGGTCAACCGCCTAAGAATTTTCAGGGTTTACTTTGTCTTCTTGTGGGTGAGTGGGGGGTGAGTGGGTAGGTGGGTGGGTGGGTGGGGGGTTAGTTGCGACAATCTTACTCTGTCTATGCCCAAAGACTGGTATTTGTAGCGTTTGTGCCTCTTTATACAAGACGTTTCTCCAAAAGACACGCCGTGACAAACGTTTTGCGAACATGCCCACAACACTTGAAAGTTCAGCATCGTGTGCCTTTTATGACAAACATAGTGTCATGTTTCTGCAATGCAACCAGACGCGATGTCACAAGTAATACCCACAAGAAGCGGGGTTTGCCTCTTTCTACAGCATACTAAAACTTCGCCAACAACCATGTTCATCTCAGGAAAAAACTTCGAATATGTCTGACCATGCACGACAGACACGTCCAAAATCTCCTCCGAGAATTGACGTCTCATGAGCTTGGGGCTTGGGATCTCCTCCTACGCCGCAACCCTAAAAACCTCAAATCCGAAATCCGAAATCCGAAGCCCGAAACCCGAAACCCGAAACCCTAAACCCTAAACTTAAACCCTAAACCCTAACCCCAAACCCCAAACCCCAAACTCCTACGCCCAGGTACCGGAAGACCGCCCGAAGATAGCGTCGGTCCTCCAGCGGATGGTGCGGCGGAAGCTTCACTACTACGTCGCGCAGGGGGATCTTCACAGCTACCGGCTCCTCGGGTTTTTAGGGTTTCGGGTTTAGGGTTTAGGGCTCCCCCTCCATTTGCGCAAATATATTTGTTATGGGAGGTAGGGCGGGGGGGGGGGGGGGAGGTTTAATATCAAGGGGCGGGGAGTGTTCCCTTTCTGGAAGGTTTGGGTTCCCTTTTTAGCCCCTGTTGAGGCCAAATTGTCTTATTTTGGTTGTTCTTTTTGAAACTATTTTTTAAGTCCTAGGCTACTTGCTAAAATTATCTTATTTTTTAACACAGATATTTTTCCAATATTCCTAGGCTACTTACTCCTGGGCCGAGGCTCATGCTGAACCTGCAGCGCGTTCACTTCAAGGAGCTCGGCCTCAACCCCATCGAGGACCCCCCCCCCACACAGCAAAAAGAAAAAGAGAAGAAGCATACGAATACCATCAGGGTTTAGGGTTTCGGGTTTCGGGTTTCGGGTTTAGGGTTTAGGGTTTCGGGTTTCGGGTTTAGGGTTTGGGGTTTAAGGTTTAGGGTTGAGGGTCCTAAGCTACCCGAGGCCGAGCAAAAGCGAGAAAGCATCCACAGGATCCAAAGCAGCCAAATATGGGACCAAATATGGAAAGACCCCTAAACCCTAAATCCTAAACCCTAAACCCTAAGCCCTAAGCCCTCAGCCCAAAAACCCTAAACCCTCAACCCGAATTTCCCGAGATTTTTCGTCGCCGAAGCCAGGGGTTGGTGTCCGGCTTCGCTTCCGAGTCGCAAGATCCGGCGGCCTTTGCTGCAGAGAGCTTCATGTTCCAGAATGGGCTTCAAGCCGTGGATCCTCGGGTTCGGAGCACTTGGGGTTTTAGGGTTTTAGGGTTTTGTTGGGGTTTTAGGGTTTAGGGTCTTATTGGGGTTTTAGGGTTTCGGGTTTTACTGTAGGGGTTTAGGTTGTCATAAGGGTTGCAGGTTCCAGGGAGCCTCCACTCTTCAAGTGCACAGAACGCCCCAGCAAGGATCAGCGGACTGCGGAAGGCTGGACGCCGATCTGCTTCGCGGTGCTGGACGGCAGCCCCATGCTGATTACGGCGTTGGCCGAACAGCGGGCCGATGTCAATGACCGCATGAAGCAGCTCGGTTGCCACCTCCCGTACCTCCGAAGACTCCTGCGACCCTAAACTCCTAAAACCCTGGCTCAGACCAAAATCCAAAACCCTAAACCCTAAACCCTAAGCCCTAAACCCTAAACCCTAAATCCAAAACCCTCCTTCCGGAATCTTGCGGGCCCATAAGCAGGGTTTACATTACTGTTTGTGGTGAGTGTATATAAGGTTCCTTTTTCATATTGGTGAGTGTATATACCGGGTGTCCTTTTGGGGGTACAAGAAATATATACCCTACTTCACATCCCGAAAGGCATCCCAGCAACCCCCCCAAACCCTCAACCCCGTCCCTGAACACCGTGAATTACCCTCAAACGTCCCTCGCTCCCCCTCCCCCCTCCCGCCCCTCCCCCCACTCCCCCAAACCCTAAATCCTAAGCTACTGATTATCGCGAGCCTGTTTCGGCAGTTCTTGCTGTTTCTGTGGCAGCAGAAGGCTTCCCGGTTCGCTAGATGAGATTGCAAATGCAATGTTACAGCTTTTTCCAAACCGGCGTGTACTGCGCGCAACAACCATGACTCATTGCGTGGTTCGATGCCAGGGTACACCCCAAACCCTAAACCCTAACCCTAAACCCCCTAAATCCTAAACTCCCCACGCCTTCAAAAAAACGAGGCAGACCGACCCACCGAGCCAGTTTGGAGTCGACACGCCCTTGCTCCACATGTGCGCCTTCCTGGCGAACAACGAGGTGAGTTTAGAGTTCAGAGTTTAGGGTTTAGGGTTTAGGGTGCAAGAGGGGGGGGGTTGTTGTGGGGGGTTTTCAGTCGGTCTCTGACATGATCACCCCCCCCCCTCCCAAGGGGTAAGAGCCTCATGCCCTGGAGCCGATAGTATGAGGCTCTCCGAGTGCTCCTCAATTGCCGCGCGGATGTGCATGCCAAAGACGGCTTCTCGGCGACGGCCCTTCAGTGGGCGGCCTTCTCCAACAACGTGGAGGGCGTGAAGGTGCTCTGCGCCGCGGGCTGCGATCCCACCGCGGTGAACGTGATTGGGCACTCCCCCTTCACAGTGGCAGGCGCCGCGGGCAACGTCGACGTCATGAAGAGCCTGCTTCCCCACACGACGAAGCAGGAGCTTGACAACGTGCTGCATGCCGCGATGCTCCAAGGAGGGAGCTCCGCCGAGGCGCTGTCGATGCTCATCGACTTGGGGGCGGATGCGTCTCGGGTGCTTTTAAAAGAGTGGTTCCTTGCGTCGTCTCAGCTCGCCCTGAGCCTGAACTTAAGGTGAAAATGTTAAAATGCTGGGGCATGCTTACGTCACCAAGCGTAAGATGCGTAAAAGGGGAAAGGAGACCGAAGCCCGAAGCTCCGAAGTCGAAGCGCGCTTGATAAGTAGCTTAAATCGAAGCTTATGAAGCTTCAGAGGTGGACCTGCAGCAAAACATGCCGCTCTTGAGCCCGCTGGGTGTCTGGTTTGGCTGCCTCAGCTTGCGGCATCGGTGGAAGCAGTCCGTGCTCAGTACATATGCCTACCACCACTACGAGGCCACACCGTTGATGTGCAGTGTGATCACTGGCAGCTTTGAGGCCACCGCCGTGCTTCTGGGCGCCGGGGCAAGAACGGACCTGCGCAACGCGCGCGGGTGTACCGTCGTTGACCTCGCACGGGAGACCTCGGCCCCCGACTACATCATGCGTGCGCTGGAGGGCCCCGGGGAGGCTCGGGAGAAGCTGGTGAAGGATGTCAAGAGGCTGGCAGGGCCGGCGAACATGAATGAGGTGAAGGAGGTGCATGTTTCACTTGGCGACGGGGAGATCATCGAAGAGCGGCTGTGAGCCATGAGGGCTCCTCTTGATCCCGCTTGTTTTCTTCCAGGGTTCCCTTCCCGTATGTCGCTTCCACACTGGGCCCCCCATGCTGTCATGAGGCTGGGAAGAGCGTTCTGCAAAGCAGCCGCTCTCTTTTTTGCGGCCAGCAAATTGTGCTCGCAACCCCTCGCCCTCAACCCTAAATTTAGGCAGCAGCCCTAAGCCCCAAACATCCCAAAGCCCAGCCAAGTCCCACGGGCTCACCCCCCCCCCAGCTCCCCCCAAGACGACGTGGGGGCTTTGCTTGGCCACTGGAGCCCTGACCTGCCAAGTGCCTGGGACGGGCCTGTTTTGGATGGCCGTTTAGATGCCGCCTCGGAGCACTTGCTTTGAGGATGGTGTGTGTGTGTGTGCGTGCCGAAAGAGTCTCTCTTGCCGCCCTGGGCTGGAAGCTCTCTACGCAAGCAACCCTGAGCTTCGGGATGTTGGGATATCAGGATTATTTGTTTATTGTTTTTTTGTAATAGGGATTAAACTACCCCCCCAAAAGAATCCCTGTTCAGGATTGCCAGAAAAGGGGGAGCATCCCGAGTGGCTGCATATGGCTGTGCTGGGTTGCAGTTGCAGTTGCAGGGTTGTTTTGGGTGGAGTGGGTCAGCGGGCGGCATAGGGGGCAGCTGGGCTCGAACCCTCTAAGCTTGCCACCAAACACTGACTGAACCCTGAGATCCCAGGGCCCCAGCCTATTCAAATCCTGCCTGCAGGGAAACCGCGACCCACGCAATGAAACCTCAGGCTTCGAGCGAACGGCATACCACAGCCTCCTCGAATCTCCAGCATCGTTTACGATGTCTTGTCGTTCCCCAATCCCTGCATGGCCCTAGTTATCTTGCCAGCCGCCCAGACCCAAAAGTTCTATCCCAGATTGCCACGCACGTGTCGAAATCCGAAGCCTGCACCCCCCCCAAACTCCCCGGAGGTTCCAGGACGTCTACATGACGGGTCGCAAGTTAGGCGAAGGCAGCTTTGGCGTTGGGGGGCCCAGTGCAAAGCTCCCAAGAGATGGTTTGGTGTTGTAGGGTTACAGGGCTTTCGGGGTGTTGGAGTTTGGGGACACTGTCTTGAGGATAGGGGGCGGGGGGGGGGGGGGGGGGGCGATTTTTGGGTTCCTGGGGTCTTGACTGTGCCCCCAAGTTACCAAGATCCTGTGCAGACTGAGCATCTTAAAAGCCTGGGCGGTAGGTTGGGCAAACGAAGGGCTGTTGCAAGCAGTGTGCCAGATGTCCGTGGGCAGTCAGCAGCCATGACTCAGCACGGCATACGAAACGCACCAAGCTGGCCAAGCCAGCATGCCTTCAATCTGCGCTCCACGCTGTGCGGCCAAACTCCCATACCGTCCAAACTATCCGTGGAAGAGGATGAGGGGAGAGGCAGGCCCTTGACAGTACGTTGTGCATGGCTCAGGCCGTCTACGAAGTGGCCCACCGTGCCAATGAGAGTACCATTCGGGTCTGCAAGGCGGGAGTTCACTCGGTTTGAGTGCTAAAGCACCCTTGTCTGGGGCCTCTTCACATCTGAGTTTCGCATGGGATGAGCTTCAGCTGCGACCTGAAGCCAGGTCATCCAGAAGTCGAGCGCAGACAAGGTACCATCGCTGACCCCTGAGCCCCCGAAACCCTTCAGGGTTTAGGGTTTAGGGTTAGGGGCCGGGGTCTCAACTCAAGTGCCTTCATGCCCGGCCGGCAGCTCTTCCGAGCCCGCTTTTGGAGAGGCCTCCTTCTTGCTTGGAGCTTTCTGCGATGCGAAGCTGATGGCTTCCTTAGCTGGCTTTGGGGCCTTGGAAGCTGGCTTTGGGCCCCTGGGAGATCTTTTCTCTTGATGCCTTGGGCTGGCCAGCCCCTCGACCGCGACCCGCTACCCTCAACTCCTGATTGCGCCCGACGTCCTTCAACTAAAGCAAGAGTAGTAGCTGAAACACCTGACGCGCAGGAGAACAGACTCGCCAGAACCAGGCGACACCCAGCGGGCAAATTCGGAAGGAGGGCCCGAATTTCGGGATCTACCTATGTGGACGTTTTCCGAGAAGGCCTCCCTCAGGACGAAGGCCGCGTCCGGCTCCATCACCACCGTGCTCTCGAGCCTCCGTGCCTCCGACCTCGCGCTTCGCGCCTTGCTTGAGCTCGCCGCCCTCGCCCGAAGCACACCGAGCCCATCCGAGCTCTGAAGCACTCAAGGATCCCAGGAACCTCACGGCCACGGTTCTTGCGTCCTCGTCCTCCGAAATCATCTCAGTGTCGTCTTAGCCCAAGATAGCCCGACCCATTGGGCTCGAGCCGCTTGGAGGGGCTGGGCATGCGCCGATTCGCGTCCATATACAAGGGTATCCTTGTTGCAGGAACCCCCCAAGTACTAATCCCGTTTATGGCACATATCCTCATGTTTTGCAAGTCCACAGAGCCTACAAGCCTCCGCCAGGCGAAGACCTCGCACCAGCGCGTCCGTGAGGAGTTTGCCGCGCGGACCTCGGGTAGGCGACGGTGTGAGTGTGAGTGTACGTGTGAGTGTGTGAGTTGATGGCTTTTGGGTTTGAGTACTGCTGTGGGTCCAGCAGGAGTATGCGAGGATCACGTGGGGTTTGGGCAGGTTTGAGGAAGTCGCTCAAGGCCCACAGGGCTTCCTTTTGTCTGATGGACGTCCAGCTCCTGAGACGTTGGGGGATTTCTCTAGATTAAGTGCCCCTTGTCTTGGGTATGTAGGAAAATCTGACTAATGATAGGAGCCCAGAAAAGCGAAGCCTGATGTCGGGAGTTGTGTCAGAAGTCCCCACCTGAATTCGCATTCCGGACATCGTCCTAAATGCTGAACCCGAGGACACCCGGACCCCTTCAGCCCAAAAGCATCCAAAAGCGATAAGCCACTTACAAGAGACCAACCCCGGGCCCTGAACCCCCAAAGCCACTGCAAGGTCCTGAAGCGCTTGGACCACCCGCACGTTGTGCGCTCGGGATCAACCCTTCAGACCCTACGGAAGCCTATCCCTAAACCCTAAACCCTAAACCTTAAACCCTAAACCCTAAACCCTAAACCCCTAACCCCTAACCCCTAAACCCTTAAACCCTGCATCCGAGACTCCCGGGCTCCATGGAAGGTACGGATCTTCGAAGATTTCGAGGATGAGAGGCCACATAAGAAGCACTCAACGCATGCCGCCTGGTTGTGCGAGATTCACGATATGGGGGGGCTTCCCGAAAATAGGGCGGGGGGTACCCTTTTGTGGGGGGTTCCTATAATAAGGATTATCGTATCTTGGTGTATATTAGTGGTACCCCTGTTTCGGGAAATGCACATTTACTGTAGGGTATTCGAAGGCAACCTCGAAGGCCTGGAAGCTTGCCCTGCTGCTGAAGCAGGTGCTTCTACTTGGTGATGGAGCCTTGTCGGGGCGGCGACTTGCTGGACACCGGGCGGGGACCGTTTGTTTTGGGGGGGTTATGTTGAACCCTAAGCCCTAAATCCTACATCCTGTGCACTCCCGCCGAAACCCTGACCCCCTGAACCGTCTTGTGGCTGAAGCTGCTTGGCTCACTTGGAAGCAAGACTTGGCCAGCAAGGTGTCAGTCAGCCATACACCATCCCCAACTGCACAGCCTGCAGAGCCTGCCGACATCATCCCTCAGACCTCTGGGGCCTCCAGGGTTTTGGGGTTCAGGTCCTCGTGTCTTCGACCTTTTTGATCGGACCAGTAGATCGATATGCCGGTCATGCCTTCGGCGAAGGGAGGCCGACGGGGCCAACGATGTGCTGCGGGCTGAGACGAGCTGGGGTTAGGGCTTTAGGGTTTGGGCTGTCCAGGGTAAGGGTTTAGGGTTTAGGGTTTAGGGTTTCGGGTTTAGGGTTTTTGGTCTTCCGGGGGGGCCTTGGGGGTTGGCCCGAGCGACCCCTGCTGGAGCCTCGGAGGAAGGTATGTAACCCAAAATTCATGGCTCCCTAAGCTTCGGTTTTGCAGGTACCTAGCCCCCCTCAACTGCAAGCTGAAGCCATGAGACCCTGAACCCAAAGCCATAAACCGTTTCTAAAGACCCCGAAGACCCCGAAAGGCCCTGAAGACCCTAAAAGCCCTAAGTCTTTAAAGACCGCAAAGACCCTAAAGACCCTAAAGACCCTAAAGACCGCAAAGACCCTAAAGACCCTAAAGATATTCCAAAGAACCTCAGCTCTAAGTTTCAGCCAAAACTACTATTTGCTCAAGAACCCCAAAAAACAAAGAATACTCTTCCTTATAAGGGCAGTGTAGGGATTACTATTTTTTATATTTGGGGGTTTTTTAAGCACATGGTAGAAAAGGCCCTGGCCCTGTTCTCCCTTGCGGTGCTCTGCCTCTGCGTCTTCCGCATTCCGACTGCAGGGGTCGAGCACTTCGTTTGTTTGGGGTCTAGACTTTGGGCTTTGGGGCCTGGGTCGTGGTTTTAGAGTTTGGGGTTTCGGGGTTTAGGGTTTGGGGTTTAGGGTTTAGGGTTTGGGGTTTTGGGTTTGGGGTTTTGGGGTTTTTGGCTTCTGTGGTTGAGGGTCCGTGGGGATTGGTTTTGCTGTAGCAATCCCAGCGGGGCCGGGGGGCATCGGGGTAAATGTCGCACTCTACAGCTGTTATAGCAGCAGCCCTAATCCCCGACTCCTCCAAGCCCTAAGCCCCAAAAAAGGGGCAGCTAAGCAGAGATTAGTCTCTGGGCACGTGGTCGACGCCTCGAGAGCAGCACAAGCGCGAGGCTTGCCATCATGGTGATGCGACTGGCACGCTGTATCGCTTCATCGGTGCACTTGATAAACAGATCTTGCCGCTTGATGTGTCCAAGTCGGGTGAGTGCTGAGATGGTGATGATCCATGAAAGAGCAGCCCACGACAGAGGAACATGCGCTGGTTATGTCCATTGCAGAGGGCTTGATGGACAAGTGCTGCGTCTTCTGTGGTGATCTCAATGTAGCGTTTTGGGTTCAGCGTTTTGCTTCTAGAGTTTGGTGACAAGTTTGGTGTTTCGTTCTGGGTCTGTCTGGGATTCAGGAGTACCAGTAGTACTAAGTCCCTGATGTGTTTGCCCATGTTTTTGCATGACGGTTTTTGAGCCACTTCATGTCTTTCGTTTGGCCTTCGGGACTGTCGTTGTGGTGCACGTCCCCTATCGGCCCTTTTGCCATGGGCGACATCCGAGCAGACTCATGGCACGCTTTCTTTTCAGGGGTACTATTCAGCGAAATCAAGTTGGCCGAGCGCCCCGACTCGATCCTGCATCATTACCCGCCACGCTGCGCTTGGTGATGAAATATGAAGAATTCAGTCGATCAGTGGCTTCCAACGAGATCGAGGTTTGCCATGACTCAGCCGAAACATGTGCAAAGACATTGCCCGTTGTACAAAACTTGAAACGAGATGCCGAGCCAGACAAGACAGCCATGAAGGCAGCAGTTCCACGAAAGCAAGTGCCAATGAAAGGGAGGTGCGATGTTGGTCGCTCCGGTCGTGACGGTTGTTTATGAGGTGTCGTGGATCGGCCAGGAGAGGATTGACCCGAAGGAGACGGGGGACGCAGAGACCTCGCCCTCACCTCCAAAAAGCCTGACCTGCCCAGGTAGCACCGGCGCCTTCGTGAGCAAGCCGCAAGTCACTCCAAGGCCCAGGGCGTTGCTTCGGGCATGTTTTGGGAAGGTTTGGGGGTTTAGGGTTTAGGGTTTATAAGGGTGCTTTAAACCTTTTTTCAGGCTTTTTGGATCTAGGTGTTGGTGGGGTTGCGGGGGGCCCTTGACCAGGCTCAGCCCGCGCTCCACACACCAGGCAGAGCCTTGGCTGGCAGGGAACCAGATCTTCGATTTGGGGTTTGGGGTTTGGGGTTTAAGGTTTAAGTTTTTGTTTAGGGATGAGATGTTCAGACGTGCTGGCGAAAAAGCACAACGAATACGTGCAATCAGAGTTATTTCTTTTAACTTAGCCGTTAAGCCTACATGGGCTGGCCATTCCATCGAACTTCTGAAGTTGTTGAGTTGCAAGACTGTGCCTGTGTATCCATGCTGCTCTCCCCATTCCCCTCCCAAGTCTGAGCAGCCAAGCCCTAAACCCAGAGCCTATAAGCCTAAAGCCTAAAGCCTAAACTCTAAACCCTAAGCCCTAAGCCCTAAGCCCTAAGCGCTAAGCCCTAAGCCCTAAGCCCTAAACCTTAAGCCCTAAACCTTGACCCCTAAACTCCTAACCCATAAACCCCGTGCCAGGATTTGGCGAAGCTGCTCGGAAGCACTTGGAAGTTCCATGCCAGGCAGCCGCTTGGGAGAGTTGCGTCTTTCGCCCCGCAGTTCGGACAAAATTTTCAACCATCCAGACCCCAAGCCCTATCCCGACGCCCTGCACCCACACACCCCCTTAAACCCTGAATCCTGAACCCTGTACCCGGAACCCTGAACCCTAAACCCTAATCCCTAAACTTCCTACTTCCTAAACCCGAAATTTCCTAAACCCTCGAGCCGTCCCGTCTCGTCTTAAAATAGGACAGCACAGGGGCGGTCGTAGACTAGGCCTTCGAAGGTGGCGGACCGCACATGCCAGCGGGTGCAGGCGAATCTCTCTCGACCCGCAGCCAATTTCAACCCTAAACCCTAAACCCTAAGCCCTAAACCCTAAACCCTAACCCTAAACCCTAAACCCTAAACCCTGAACAAAGAACCCTAACCCCTAAATCGAAGTGTGAAACCATAAGCCCTAAGCCTAAACCCCAAACCTCAACCCTAAACCCTAAACCTTCTGGAGGGTTTTTATAGGGTGTTTATAGGGTTTATAGGGTTTCATAGGGTTTATGGGTTTATAGGGTTTATAGGGTTTATAGTGTTGATCAAAGCCCGGCTGAGGGATGGGTCGCAAGGGCGACCCGCCCGTTCGGAGATTGCGGAGATCGCGGGCGTGAGGGGCTTAGGGCGTTAAAATGTTGCAGGGCTTGTGAAGTCACACCCTAAACCCTAAACCCTAAACCCTAAACCCTAAACCCTAAACCCTAAACCCTAAACCCTAAACCCTAAACCCTAAACCCAAAACCCTACACCCTACACCCTACACCCTCAACCCTAGAGGTGCTTTGGAGGGAGTCCGCTTCGTGTGTTGGGATCGTTCAGAGTTCAGGGTTTGGGTGTCTTGGCCGGTGCTTTGTTGCTCAGCATGAAGCCGTCAAAGTGGTTTTTTCAAAAGGCTGTATACGGGGTTTTGACGAGGTTTCGTAGGGTTACATGGCGGGAATTGTAGAAGCCTTCTTGGGTTTAGGGGTTCTCCGAGCCCAGGACCAAGAAAGCCACAAACCCAGGTCCCCCCTCCACAGAGCCTGACGAGCCTGAAATTATGCCAAGCGTCCCGCAGCCCGGAAGCCCCTTCAAGAGCCCTCAAGCAATGGCCCCAACACCTCTGAAAGCCACCACGTGCGCCCGAAATCCCCAGCCCGAAGCTTGCAACCCCCAAATCCCAGAACCTCAACTGCAGCCAACGGCTGCAGGTGGGTACCTTGGACGCAGCAACCGAGGAGTGGCCCGGGGCTCATGCAGGGTTTGGGGCTGTTGTTTCTCCTGGAGTTTGTGTATGTTTGTTGGGTTTGGGGCGGTTCCGGGTTTCGGGTCGGTTTGGTGCTTTGGGTTCGGGCGGGCGGTTTGGCGTGCAGGCTTGGGGAGCATTGGGCCCAGCAGCCCAGAAACCATACACTCGCAAGCCTCCTCGTTCCCTCTCTCACTTGGGAGAAGCCCGAACTCCCGGAGCCCGTCAATGGATGAGGGTTTCCAGGGTTTATGGAATCAAAGCCCCAACCTAAACCCTAAACCCGGAACGCAAAACCCTAAACCCGAAGCCCCAAAACCCAGGCTGTCTGCACTTCCCAGCTGGTTCTGGCGCGGGGTGATCCTGGTCCTGTGCATGCTCTGGGCAACCAACTTTGCCGTCATCAAGGACAGAGGTTGGGATGTTCCCCCTCCCCGTGTACTAACAGTCCTTAACAGGGATTAGAGTACCCCCCTTAGTCCCCCCTCAGGGATTCTAGTAACCCCAAGGTAGTAGTGTTGCTACAACAAAGCCGTAGCATGACGAAGGGGCATGTCCTTGTTGCCAAAACCACGCCAACCAAGGCATCCTAAACTCTAAACCCTAAACCCTAAACCCGAAACCCTAAAACCTAAGCCCTAAACCCTAAACCCTGAGTTCTAAGCCCTAAGCCCTAAACACTAGACGTCTCGCATGTCGTTTTACAACGACTTCGAAGTTGAGGAGTCGCCCAGCTGTGGAGCTTGCATGAGTACCCCCTAATAGTGTCCTCTACTACTATTGGGGCATTCTCAGGAACCCTTACAGTCAACTCCAAAAAGTTGGAACATCCTTGTCCCCATACCCCAAAAGGTATACGAAAGGGAATCCCAGCTTCAATCATCCTTAATCCATGTTCCAACTTTCGGGAGCTTACTGTAAGGGGATCTGCTTGTTGCTCCCAGAAATCTGGAAATCGAAGTATATAGCAGTAGGGTTTAGGGTTGAGGGTGTAGGGCAAGAATGAACAAGCTTCAGAGTCGATAAAGTTCGGGGAAGCTTGCAGGAGATCACCGCGCAGCCAGGGGTCACCACGCAGATGTCTGGGCCTCAGCGGGTCTGGGTGCCCGGTCTCGGAGTCTACCTTATACGAACTTCCACATTCTACAGCTTTATAGTCCTTAATGGCCTACAAAGAACAGCAGGTCTGGGTTCGGAAGGTAGGAGTCTTTCAACCAGGCGGGGTCCCCTCCTTAAGCTCTTAAGCTTCCCAAATTTCCCCTTGAAAGGGCTTCCAAAAAGCGCCCAAATTCTTCCCAGACCCCACACTTCTTTGTGGCCTCTCCAAATTCACGCCCCTGCAAGGTTTCTGCCCGAACGCCCTACCAGAAACTCGTAAAGCCCAGGTACGCAGTGTCACGGTTTACAGTGGCAGCGGGGCTGATGTCGCCCTGGACACGCCTTTTATTATTATTTTTTTTTTTGGGGGGGGGGGGGGAGGGATTTCTTTGGGGGGAGTTTGGCGTGGCCACAAGTTTTTGCATTGGGCTTCAAAGAGGGGTCACCCAGTGGGGTCTGTTTTCAAGAGCGATTGTTAGGGCATTTCGGGGTTGGCTGGGTTCAGGGCCGTGGGCTTTAGGGCTTGAGCTCATGCTTGAGGGTTGACCTGCGAATCTCTTGTGAAACGACGGCCCTGTGTCTGCGACAGCGCTGCCCCGAAATCTAGTCGAAGGGCAAGAGTAAAGCCTCCAAAGCAACACCCTAAGCCCTAAGCCCGAAGCCCAGGGCCCAAACCGCAAGAAGCCCTCAATGCCTTGTCGAGCCGCAGGATCTCAACGGCCTCTTCGCCCAAAGTGCTTGCACAGGCAGTTGAGTGCGGCCTCTGGGTCGCCTTTGGCTACATCGGCCAGGCACCTCTTGTTTGGGGACTCCTCAGCCAGAGTTTAACTTTGGCGTGTGGGGTTAAGTGTTTGGGCCAACGTCGCTCATTACGGCCTTTCATGCCTAAAGCCACCTCTCTCAAAAGCCCCCCCCCCCCCCCCCCCCCCCCCCCCCCCCCCCCCCCCCCCCCCCCCCCCCCCGCCCCGCCGCCCCAAAAACAAAAAAAGAAACAAAATAGGAAAAGAAAGAACGGCCCCCTAAACCCATAAGCCCTAAGCCCTAAACCCTAAACCCTAAACCCGAAACCCACAAGCCCCCCCCCCCCTCCAAAGAAGGCCCTGAGTTGCCAGGCCGTCGGCCTCATGACGACCACGGCCTCCAAGTCCTGCTTCATCTGCGCCCCGGCATTCTCCCGAAACCCCCCCCTAGGTTTAGGGTTTAGGGTTTAGGGTTTGGGGTTCAGGGTTTAGGGTTAGCCCTCAAAGCCTTCCAAAATACCCCGAGGATCTGGGTTTCGATGTGTTCTAGACTAAGTTCGGCTAGGCTTCTCGGTGCCGATTTCCAAAATCGCAGGGATCTCGTGAAAAACACGCCTGCCCAAAGACGAGGACCTCCCCCAGATGCAGGAGGTCTGAGGTTACAGGGTCAGGGCTTTGAATGCAAGAGGTTTAGGGTTGAGGGGTTTAGGGTTTAAGGTTTAGGATTTAGGGTCTAGGGGTTGGGGCCTAGAGTACACCAGAACCGAACATGGAGAGGCTCGGGCTCGCCAGGGCCTTTTTCTAGGCGAACAAACCCCCAACCCGAAATCTTAAACCCTAATGCCCACAACCCCAAACCCAGAACCCTCAACCCTCAACCCTAACTCCGAAACCCTAAGCCCCCTAAACCCTAAACCCTAAGCCCCCTAAACCCTAAACCCTAAACCCTAAACCCTAAACCCTAAACCCTAAACCCTAAACCCTAAACCCTAAACCCTAGAGACCCCTCGGGGCCCAGAGTTGGCACCCTAACGTGGCGAAGCCTCGCCAGCCCCAGGCACGCTGAACGTCGTCTTCGTGGCGATGATCGTGGGAGTCCCTCATCTGCCTTGAAAACCGCTTGAACCCTGGGGATGCGTCTGTTGCAAGCTTGCAGGGTCTAGGGTTGAGGGTTTAGGGTTTTGGGTTCAGGGCATAAAGCCCTAAACCCCAAACCTGGAGATCTGAGCTGCTGAGATCACCAAGCGGAAGTTCGATCCGCAGACGCTGTGCGCGGCCGTGTTGGCCGTTGCCGGTGCCGCCTGGCTTAACTGAGGGCCCTGGGTTCGAATTTGGGATGCTGTTGCGTGCTTGTTACTCAAATGGGACGGTATTGGTAGAGGATGTCTTCAGAAAAACATCTGAGCTTGCGAATCCGAAGCTGCATGAAGCTCCTGCAGGGTCGCCTGTTCAGGGTGTTGGGGTTGGGGTTGAAGCCTGTTCAAGGTTTGAGGGGCGTGAAGCTTCAGTGTTCAGGCCAAGCGTTGTGTGTACGGCATGAGGTGCATCGGAAGGGATTCAGGTTTCGCAAGCCATCCGTCTGCCAGCAGAGTACCGATGCTTGTCGCAAACGTGTAAGGTAGGGCCCGGCGCCCGGCTCGAACTTCAAACCGTTACAAACCCAAAAGCAGATGAAAGCCGCCCGAAGCCCTTGAACTACAACCCTCCAACCCTAAACCCTAAACCCTAAACTCTGAACCCTAAACCCTAAACTCTGAACCCTAAACCCGAAACTCTGAACCCTAAACCCTAAACCTCAAACCCTAAACCCTAAATTCTGAACCCTCTAACAGCGGGCTTTCAGCTTCGAGAGCTCCCTTGAGGTCGGCTTCCTCGAGCTGGCCGGGTCGCAGCAGTTCGTCATCGGTGCGCTTTCTTTCTTTTTTTTTTTTTTTTGGGGGGGGGGGGGGGGGTGTAGGGTTTAGGGTTTAGGGTTCAGGGTTTGGGGTGTAGGGTTTAGGGTACTTGCTTAGTGGTGTTTAGGCGATACTCCCAGCAGTGGCTCCATCCCTCCGTGGGTGGGTGGGGGTTGGGGGCTGGCGGGCGGTTTAGGCTTTAGGGCTAAGGCTTGGATGCTCAAAGAAGCATGTTTTGTCTCTCGTATGATATATATATATACATATATATATCATACGAGAGCTTCTGGAAGAAGCAAGTATGATAGCATTTCCAAGCCGGGACGACCAACGAAAGATACTACTATTTAGTGAGTTCCATAATTTACGACGGGCTAAGCTTTTAGGTCATATACTTCGTAGTACAGATTCTGATCCTTTAAGACAGGTATCGTTTATGCCCAGCAGTGCCACTAGAATCGAGTATGGCAAAAAGCGAGTTGGGAAGCCCCGGCAAACTTGGATACACCATGCAAAGAAGTTTGTGTGGGAAGAGACGCTTGGCAGAATATCTTATGAAGAAACCCCGGTACAAGATAATCTCATCTATAATGCAGGTTTGCAAAGACAGTTCTAAAGCGTCTGCAGAGGGTAAGCCTCCTTTTTGCTGCGCCAACGCCGTGTCTTGAAGTTGACGTACAGTCGATTCACGGTATGGCTTCGGAAAAATATATATGTATATATGTGTTTATTTATTTTTGTAAACAAGGTTTTTTTGTTTCTTGGGCGGTGGGTTGAGGACAAAATAGGATTGTCATCAATACGGGGGCACCTGTGCAGGAGACCTGATCTCCCTGGCGATGCCCGTCGGCTTCGGTATGGGCCGGGGGTCCCAGCCATTCTTGTGGGGACTTCGGATTCAAGCAGCGTGCCCCAGGATGTAGGGTTTAGGGTTTAGGGCTCCCATGCTGTGGGGCCCGAGTTCAGCGCACAAACCATTGAACACGGTTGAGGGGAAGCCCGGCAGCCTTAGATCCTGCGGCCTTCCAGCCGTGGCAGGATACATCCGGCTGGAGGAGATTATGGCCGAAAGCCCCAAGGACGCTCTGCCAGTGACAGCGACTCGGCCCTTAAAAGGCTCATAGGGGCCCTAAAGTAGATAGAATATATGGACTATAGGGACTACTTAAGGATGACTATAAGGGCGGATTCGCCCCCCCCAGCTCAAAGCCCTCACGAAGGCCGTGAAGTTGGGAGTGGTCGCTCTGGCCTCCTGGGCCTACTACGTGCCTTGGCCCAGGGCTCCTCTTGACTACGGCCCGGTTTTTGTCGGTTCTTGTCATGCTTGTCTTTCCAGAGTGCCGAATGTCAGGGGACAGAAATCAAGGTAAAGCCCCATTGAGGGGGTTGGAGTTGCGGGTTTGGGTTGTGGACTTGCGGGATCGCCCCGGGCTTTCAGCGGGTACCTATACAACCCGTATCTGCGAAGGACTCGGCCCTAGAGAGCAGGGTTAGTAGGGTCGTGTTTGTATGGTTTTTTGATCTTTCGGGTTCAGCTTGAGCGTTTGGTTGGGCCCTCATTTAGGTACATGTTGGCGAGGGCTTAGACTTTGTGTTGTGGGCTCCTGTTTGACCCTACTGACAGACCCCAATGCTTTGTATCACATGTTTGTCGTGGTCTAGCAGTCTTTCGCGGGCGGTTGGTGTGGAGATTGTGCGAGTGGAGACGAATGTCGGGTGCTCCCTTTTGGATCCCTATTGTAGTACGGCACCTAATATTTAGGGTACCCCAAAAGGGATCATAACTTTGACAGCCACCCAATGTGGCGTAAGATACTGTTGTGACAACGCTTATGCAAGCAGCCGGCGCCAAGAATCGCACACTTCTGCTGGCCGCGCACGGCCCCTTTTTGCAAGAAATGGCTGCCCCCGCGGGTTAATCGTAGGATTCCCTTGGCCCCAAATAGGTACCCGCTCTGATATCGGAAGCCCCCCGAAAGCCTCTTGAAACCTCGGGAGAAGGGCAGCCGAACCTTCCCAGGCCCTCACCGCGGGCGCCGTGGACCTGGACCCCGTGTTCGCCTCCTCCACGGCGCTGCTCCGGGGCTCCAAGGGATTGAGATTTGAGGGTGCAGGGTGTAGGGTTTTGGGTGTGAGGTTTTGGGGTTTAGGGTTTAGGGCTTCGGTTTAAGGTACAGGGTTTAGACCCCCAGCGCTGGACTCTCACTGCCCCGGCGCTGCCCAAGGCCCTGATCACGTTTGAATCCAATAGCCGAAGCCCTTCAATCCTCCTGCCCAAGGACGGGCATTTTGTACACCGGGGTGGTCACAACAGCTATGGCCGGGCACCCAGACTGGGTCCCTGCTATTCGTTCACGGTTCTCCCTGCTGTTTCTGCGGGTCTCATGGTGCCTGCCCTATGCTTCCCAACAGGGCAAAACTCCGAGAAGCCTGAACCCTGATTCCCTTTTCCTCCCCTAAACCCTAAACGCTAAACCCTAAACCCTAAACCCTAAACCCTAAACCCTAAACCCTAAACCCTAAACCCTGTGCTGTGGTTCTAGAACCCTGAGTCGGGCGCCCGACCCACCCCCCGCCCCCAAAGGCACTGGTGGTCGAATCAGTCGCCTTCCGCTTTATCGATGCCACCTCGGCATCAGCTCCCTCTTCGCAGTCTGGGGGAGGTTTCAGGATTTAGGGTTTAGGCTTTAGGGTTGACGGCAACCCGACGAGATACTGGCTGGGGAATCCTAAATAGGAGATGCTAGCAAAGGCGGAGGACGTCGATGTTTCCCTACAACGCACAGAAAAATGGAAAGATGCCGTGGAGGTAGAGTGGCTTTCTCAATGACAGAGGAAAATGTAAGTTGTCCTCGCGATGCGGATGGACCCCACGTGAACCCCCTCCCCTCACAAAGCAACAACAAGGACCAGCCGAACCCCCACGCAGTGAAGGCTCTTCAGAGGTATGTACGACACTGGTCCACAGTGCTTCCTAAGGCGCAGGACATCCCATCAAAAGTCCATCGGAAACGGAGTTTTTTTGCGTAAGCCTGTTCTTGAGCAAGATGGAAACCGAGGCTGCTCACTGCATGCAAGCAGAAATGGGATGTATCTCTCTTCGGGTAGTTCTATGCAGAGGCTGCCTTTGAGCTTCCGAAGGACATGGAGGTTGTCCATTTCACCCTAAAGGAAACAGTGCAGAGTTCTGGCAAACCAAAACAACACGTTCTGTTTCGAGCAGAGAGGCCTGGTTTTTGCGTAAACGGGGTTGACCCCTTCATCTACAGGAAGCCGAGGATGTCATCTCAAGTCTGAAGCCCAACCCCTTCGAACTTTGGGAGAAGAGGTTCGGGCCCTAAGCCCTAAGCCCTATGCCCTAAGCCCGAAGCCCGAAGCCCTGAGCCCTGAGCCCTGAGCCCTGAGCCCTAAACCCTAAACCCTGAGCCCTAAACCCTAAACCCCTAAACCCCTAAACCCCTAAACCCTAAGACCAACACTCAGGTCATCTTCACCACGGAGCCGCTCTGGGCTGCCATCTTCGCCGTCTGGCTGCGCCTCGCCAGGGCGAAGCCCTCCTCTGGGTTCTTGTGCCTCTGTTTTTGTGTCTCCTGAGCCTTGAACCCTAAACCCTAAACCCTAAACCTTAAACCCTAAACCCTAAACCCTAAACCCTATATACCCTAAACCCTAAACCCTAAACCCTAAACCTTAACTCTGTTTGTGTGTTCTTTGTTGGGGCAGGGGTTGGGGGGGTTCAGGGGGTTCAGGTTGGGATGTTCCCCCTGATTTTCTAACGTTCCTTAATGGGGATTGCACTGCTTAAGAGCTGTTAGGTATAAGGGGCAACATCCCAAGTCCCAAGGTTCAGGGTTTAGGGTTCAGGGGTTCAGGGTTCAGGGTCCCAAAACCCAAAACCCTACCCTCTACCCTAAACCCCAAAGCCTAAACCCTATGCGGAGCTGCAGTTTGTATTGTGGAAAAGAGTTGGTATTGAAGGTTAAAGGGTCAATGAACCCGGAACCTTTTTTTTGGCTCAAGATGACGATGCACTTAGTGAGAAAAGAGTGCTTGGTCTTTTGGGTTTGGTTTGTGGTTGGTCCGGGGAACTTAAGGGCTTCTTCTGGGGTTGACTGTTTGGTTTCCTGTCTCCCTTCGGTTGCCCCCCGTAGGTTATGAGCCCAAATTAGGCTTCCTGCGGTATAGGTAAAGATTTTTCGTTTGTTTAACGCCATGGACATGATGCGGCGTCGCTCTGAGCCTGGACTGTCGCCCACGGCCAATGAAGCCGAAGAAAATCGTGGTGATGGGGGTGAAGAACGACAACAAGTGGTGCAAGCGCTGACAGATGGTAGGGAGGTTGCAATGATACAACCAACGCCTCAGGTGGAAAATGAAGTGGTTCCGGTTCCAGCAGCAAATCCTTTCTGGAGCGAGCGGGCTCAAGAAGAAATAAGACTGAGGCAATCAAGGCCGGCAAGTCTTGCTGCAAGCGGAGGGGATAGGAGTGGTGGAACTACGAGGAGGCCACCATCGCTACATGATCTTACGGGTCAGGAGCCTGCACCTGTTGAGAGACCATCGTCAGGCTTAATGGGCCAGATGGAACGAGGTACTATCGGTGGAGCGCAAGCAGAGGAAGAGCTTATTCCTGATGTGAGTGGTGAAGAACAAAGTGAAGATATGGCAGTAGTAAAGCGTGCGCTTAAAGAGTTGCTTGTGCAAACAAAGGAGCTGGGGAACAGGTTGCATCGGGTGGAGGAGAAAAGCTATACCTCTGCTGCATCTGGGTCAGCTTCGCGAGCACGGAGCACTGGAGTGGTGGACGCAAATGCTGCATATCCCTTGGGAATGACTCCAGAGAAACAGTACCCGCCAGGACAAGTTTTCTACACTGATGGTATGGGTTGCCTGATGGGACATGGCTGCCTATTGAGGGCTACGACCTGCCAAAGGGTTGTGATCTTCAATCCTTGCCTGGGTCCAGGAAGGGGGATGCTCAAGTGGAGGATGAAAAAGAAGTGCCAATGATGCATGTAGCTGAAGGGAAGAAACCCTCCAGATTGCCTCCGTTGAATTACCCCATGGGAGGTCCTGCAAGTGGTAGATATGCAAGTGGACCACCTGGTTTAACACATGCTCCGATTACTTCCTTGCCGTCAGGTGCTGATGGTTCTGCCGCACCTATGGGGAACCAGCCCGGTTTTGTTTCAGCTCGGGAAACTTCGACGCAAGAGAACTCAGCAGGATCGGGTGGATATACAATGGTGGATGATGTTCCGTATCGGTGGAAAATGGTCGCTGGGAAGTTGGAATTAGAAAAGGTTCCGCTCACAGCTGTTACGCCTGGTATAGGACATGGACTGCCTCAAGGGCCTGGTGGTAGGGTCAGCTTACCTCCTGGAGCAGTGGTGCCACGCGGTATGCCAATCATTGGTGATAGTTCTGGAACTGAACGTCCGGAGGCTCTTGGGAAGCATGTGATGAGCCTTCCTACTTTGGCAGACTACGCACCAAGCAATCCGACGGCACTAGGTGATTGGATCGCAATGATCGAGCCAATGTTGTCTTCGCTGACAGATACAGGAAGAGTGTGGTGGCAATGCGTCTAGTCAAAGGCGTATCAAGCGTATGCCAAATGGTTGAGTGTTTCTCCACTGGAAAGGTTGGGCATCAAGGCTGAGCTGGAAGGGCTCAAAGTGGTTCGAACTGTGCATGTTTTGTTGGAGCAGAGAGCGGTGTCTTTACTGCTGCAGGCGATTCCGGAGAGATTGAAGACCGAGATCGTTTCCACTCGAATGTTGGGGTCAGTGATGATGTTTTACAAATTGTTGACGGTCTACCAACCAGGTGGAGCAAATGAGCGCAGCACAATGTTGAACTTCTTGGTGCAACCATCTTCAGCAACCTCGATCTCAGAGGCCATTAAGGGAGTGCGTCAATGGGCGCAATGGCGTTCCCGATTAAGGGAGTTGAGAGCAGCCGAGCCGGACGCTACCTTGCTTATCAAGGGATTGGATGGTTTATCATCCGCGTTGCTGGCAAAACACCCTACGGTTCATTTCAGAGTGGCATCCTTTCGGGAGAAATTGGGGGTGGACTACTCGCCGACCTCTGAAACTGCGACACAACTAGCTGAAATGTTACAGGCAGAGTTTGAACTGCTATTGCATAGTGCTGGTGATCAAGAGGTGAAGCAGGACTCGGACGCCAAGAAAAGGGCAAGGTTAAACAAGGCTCAAAAGGGAACTGGTGACGAGACGGAGGAGGGTGACAAAGGAAAAGGGAAAGGAAAAAGGTACAGCGGTGATGGTGAACGTCCATTCTGTTGGATATATGGGAAGACAGAAGCAGGCTGCAAGTTCGGATCACGCTGCAAATTTCGCCATGACAAGGACTCCCTGGAGCGTGGAAGATGTTTTGAATGTGGGGCCGTTGGCCATCTACAGCCGCAGTGTCCATATAAAGATGGTGCAAGTTCCAATGTGGACTCAAATCCTGAGAGGAATAGATCTAAAGGGAATTCTCCCAAAGGGGGAAAGGGCGGCAAAGGTGCGAAATGGGGAAATGCCAAAAAGGCAGAGGTGGCTGAAGGGGGAGATGAGACGGCTAATGCGGGATTGGAGAAAGGTTCTGCAAGTCCCTCATCACCATCAACACCCAATCAGGTCCTTGCTGAAGCGTTAGAAGTGCTGAAATCTATGAAACTGTCATCAGCGCAGTCAGCGTCAAGCGGGGATCCCAGTGTTCGAATGTTATGTGGCTCTGGGTTGTTTCAGCAGGGAAGGAGAGTGGCGTTGGTGGATACAGCTGCTACGCATCTTGTGCGGACGCTTTTTCCATGGGAATGTTTACCCGACACTACTGTTATGGTGCAAAGCGCGCTTGGTGGTGTGACAATGAGGATTACAGAGAAAGGGACGTTGATTAGGGAAGACAATGGGCCTCTGATTATCCCTCTCTGGTTGATTTTGGAGTTTGGGGCGAACCTCACCGTGATCAATGGGATGTGTCACGTGGATGCAAAATCTTCGCTGGACCAGCTCTTGTGGTTTGAACATGGCTGTTTGGTTATGGATTACAAAACAGCTGAAAAGATGGTTTTGCATGCTGAAAGGCAGCGTGCGCCTTGGTCCCACTCTCAATGGAGGAATGGAAGGGCGGACTGTGGAGTCGGTTCGTCTGATGCCACGTTGTTGCCGAAGCAGGGAGAAGGCCGAGGAGTATGCGTTCTACATGTGGCCAGGGTTTCTGACACCAATGAGTGTTCGGGAATGGGCATGTTGGACTCGGGAGCATCACATCCTCTCAGATCACTTCGTCCTGGTGAACAGCTTCCGCAGCAAAAGGTGTTGGTGTCTTTAGCTGTTGGATCTCGGGAGATGTGTATTACCCCAGGCGGGACCCTGGTAACTCCTGAAATGGTAGATCCACTAGTGCCAATTGGCAAAGCGAGCGCTTTGGTTGGTCTCAGAGTTCAGTGGCGTGGTGGCAAGTGCACAGCCTCACATCCTGTTCTGGGGGAACTTCGCGTTCGTGATCTGAATGGGTGCCCTTGTTTGGAAAAGGAGGTGGCGCTTCAGATCATTGATGAAATGGATTGGTGTTCACCAAAGCAAGCGTTGAAGGTGGCACGTATGGTTCAAGGGTGTCCGAATACGGACAATGAGGTGGCCGTAAAAGCGTCGTTGCAAAGCGCAGCGCGGACAGCGTCAGCGAACGAGGAGGAGTTCGTCCAGGCATGTTGGCGATTTCTTCGGTGGGGATATACCAGAAAATATGCTGATGGAGCTGTTGCCACGTGGAGATATTGCGGCGTTGCCTTTCAACCGTCATAAAAGGAGACGGCTGGCACGAGCAAAAAGGGTGGTGGTACACCTATTTTCGGGAAAACAAAAATGGCATTTTCCCAGTCGGGATGTGGAGGTACTGGAGCTGGATTTGAAGAAAGGCGGTGACCTACATAATTCGAGCGTCTGGAAGTATCTTCTGCATCTGGCGGCTGAAGGAAAGGTGGTTGCTGTGGTTGGAGGACCTCCATGCAGGACAGTGTCAAGGTTGAGAGGTGAAGACGGTGGTCCACCTGTATTACGCCGGCGCTGTGGGCCTGAACGGTTGGGATTAAAAAGTCTTCCTTGGCCACATCAAGAATTAGCTCAAAAGGATGGTGTTTTATTTCTGAAGATGCTTTTCCTATATGACGTGGCGGTGCATTCAAGGTGTGGAACTACTGAAGTCATCAATGGAAGTTCTGTCTTCTTTGGCATGGAAAGTCCTGGGGACCCTGAACTCATAGGGAAAGATTTCTCTCAGAACGGCAAAACGGTCTTGAGTGCTGAGGATCTGGTGGATGGTTCTCAGAAAGGGTTCTCAAGTCCTACCTTCTGGAGTTGGCCAGAGGTAGAAAGGTTTTGCGAGCGTTATGGAATGTACGCTGCGCATTTTGATCAAGGAGCATTGGGACATGATGTGGTGAAGCCTACGACTTTCCTGGTGTCGGATATGGAACTATGGGAATCGTTGGAACAGGTTCGCGTGGTTGTTCCGTGGTCAG